GACCAACATCTACTGGTCAAAATCTACAAGACCACAAATAATGAACAACATCTACTGGTTAAATATCTACAAGACCACAGACAATGACCAACATCTACAGGTTTAAATCTACAAGACCACTGACAATGACCAACATCTACAGGTTTAAATCTACAAGACCACAAACAATGACCAACATCAACAGGTCTAAATCTACAAGACCTCAGACAATGAACAATATCTACAGGTCTAAATCTACAAGACCACAGACAATGAGCAACATCTACTGGTTTAAATCGTCAAGACCAGACAATAAACATCATCTACTGGTATAAATCTACAAGACCACAACTTATGAACAACATCTACTGGTCTAATTCTACAAAACCACTGACAATGAACAACATCTACTGGTTAAATAAATCGTCAAGACCACAGACAATAAATAATCATCTACTGGTTTAAATTGTCAAGACCACAGACAATAAACATCATCTACTGGTCTAAATCTACAAGTCCACAGACAATGAGATGAGCAACATCTACTGGTATAAATCTACAAGACCACAGACAATAAACGTCATCTACTGGTCTAAATCTACAGGACCACAGACAAAGACCAACATTAACTGGTCAAATTCTGTAAGACTACAGACAATGACCAACAGATACTGGTGAAATATCTACTAGACCACAGACAATGAACAACATCTACTGGTTTAATATCTAGAAGTCCACAGACAATGACCAACTTCTACTGGTCTAAATCTACAAGACCACAGACAATGACCAACATCTACTGGTCAAAATCTTCAAGACCACAGCAAATGGCCAACATCTACTGGTCTTAATCTACAAGACCACAGCAAATGGCCAACATCTACTGGTCAAAACTTACAATGCAACAGGCAAATACCAACATCTACTGGTTAATATCTTCAAGACCACAGCAAATGGCCAACATCTACTGGTCAAAATTTACAAAGCAACAGGCAAATATCAACATCTTCTGGTCAAAATTTACAAAGCAACAGGCAAATACCAATATCTAATAGTCAAAATTAACAAAGCAACAGGCAAATACCAACATCTACTCGTCAAAATTTACAAAGCAACAGGCAAATACCAATATCTATTGGTAACAATCTAAAAATGCTCCAGACAATGACCAACATCTACCTTTAGAGTCTTAAAAACTGAGATTGAAATGACAGATGCCCTTAAGAAAAACTTTTTCTTTCTAACAACTGATTAGGTTAATAAAAGAATTAATTCAGTACTACCTGTTTTTTAATTATACATTTATTACAGAATTTTCAGTTTTGATAACCTTTTTAGTAGATTTAGACACATATTGTCTCATCTCTCCAAATCACAGAACAACATATTTGTAACCTATCCCTAAATTACTGCACCATTTATTGATATGTATGATATGACCCACCAATACAAATGAAGATCAATTACAACAAAATGTGATTACATGGATAATATTTATTGAATTGATAGACTAGTTTTGATTACACTTAGGAATAAGATTACACCACATGTAATCTGACAGACATAGGGACAGGGGATGGTACAATAGCATCAATACAGGCCCTGGCCCTGTAACTATGGACAGAATCAGGTACAGACAACAGACATTTCGTAAACAAGGACTGGTATCAGGGATGTACTTACAATCATTGTTATACATTTAGTCTGCGAGGGAACAAATTGTGTTGTACATAAAGATTATAATCCAAGGCAAGCCTCGTAAGAATTCCTGGCATATCATTTGATCCTTTTGGAGACGACAAGAGGATTTAACATTTTTACGGTGTCAACATTTTGTGGTTTTTGTTAGGAAGGTAAATAAAATGATCAATAGAATGGTAGTTGGGGATGGGGAATAGTAAACAAGGCAATGTGTTGTAACCAAATTCGCCCACCAGTAATTATATGTGTCGTTATTTACAGGCCTTTTACACCTTTCTCAGCATCAACTTACCGTTAAGAAAGCATCCTGATACAGAATACGGCACCATGTTCGAATGTATTGCAATCAGAGGCCAAAATAAACATCAAAGCGACTTGTTTTGGTGCATTTTATACTGTCATCTCAGAATAAAACTATAAACCGAATTTGTTTACACCAAGAGAAATAGTATAGAAGATTTAAGAATAGTTATTTGAACAAGAAGCCCAGAGGCCCTGTATCGCTCACCGGGATATGTTTCCAGTACTTCAATATGAGGTAAAGATAATAGCAGTCCATGGTAGGTACTGTATGTACATATGACATTTCAGAAAGATCATCGAGTTTTTCTGGAGATATAGAGGGAACAAACATCAAATGTCAAAATCCAAGATGGCGGCCTGGTGGCCATCTTCTTTAGTTATTCCCTCCGTTAATCTCTGGTCGGAGCACCCCGATGTGATCGGGTATTACGGTTTTAGCTACTTTGATCTGGATTGTCAATATATATATATATATATATATATATATAGAATAAGAAATAAAAACAATTTTTTCAGATCGTCCGCTAGGCCTTTCTGCCTTCTAGGGCTTCTTCAGGCGGATCAATTCTATATTTTCCTTCGCAAGGACTTATTTATTTATTATCTACTATATATATAAATATATATATATATTCAGCATGATTCCTACATTGTTGTTATTTTTATGAACTTTGTTGAGAGAGGGCGATATTGCTGACCTATGTTCAATTATTACAGTTAGAGAGTATGATACGGTCCAGTGATCGCAAGAACATTCATGCCTATGTACAGGTTTATGCCACCACCTCAATAGCTATACACTTGTAAGCACACATATACTATATATACACTCTCGTGAATGGTGAGAGGGAATTAGACAGTGTTGATTATATCAGTCAGCATGAAGCAACGGCAACCGTGTAGTGTAGAGGCCTAAGCATATTGTCTATGCACACAATAATAGCAACTTCACTTGGAGCACGGTGGTGCATAATCAGACATAGTAGGTCAGCTGTCCTGTGCTGCCAGTAGACTAGATCTTGCCAGATGTAGGTCACATAACGAACTCCTACTAATTTTCTCCAATGTAAGTCTCTGGTGTGAGTTCAGTTGCAGGTCACGGGCTGTGCTAGTAAGATGTGCAATCCATTATACACTGGAGCAGGATAGGATCACTGTGGGGGATCTAAGTTGCACCAATACTACCTGACCTATATGTGGAATTTATGATTTGCTTAATCTTAGGGATATATTTTATGCGCTTATGTTGGAGAGTTGTACAGTGGAGAATAAAATGTTCTCTAGTTTCAGCTTCCTGTTTGCAAAGTGGGCAGTTGGGAGAGATATTATGTTGGTTGAATTTTGACCGATTTGTTTGTAATGTGTATGTGCCCGTCAGGATTCTTGCTTTGATGATCGCTTCGGCTGCTTCGCTTGGTCCGTTCATCGCATGTTTCCACAGTGGGTGTGGTTTCTGAAGTGGTTTGTCCTGCATATGTAGATATCGGAGTGAGGGTTTCAGTGACTGGTCCAACAGGCAATGATTATGCCAGTACTTGTTGGTGGCTTCTCTCACCATTGATTTCCACTTCCGTTTACAGGGTGGGTTTTCAAGCATGTCATAGGGGGAGGGGAGAGAGTGTTTAGCCAGGATGCGCTTTATGTGAATAACCCAGCTAGAGCTGTCCGGTTTACTGCTAACTGGCGACGGGCTATGTCATGTTCTGCTGTCCCAGGTTGAAGCATGATTGATCCAAATAAGGTCAGGGGCTTTATCCCCAGCTCCATGCCAATAGGAGTAGCTCCCAGCAGCACATAGGTGGCGGTGTTGGCACATCTGCCAGGTAATGACTTGATCATGTGCAGTGTTTTCAGTTCTCTGGTGTTTAGAGTCTTAATTTCTGAGGCTGGCAACTGTAGGACTTCTAAGCCGTATGTGATGCGTGGTCTGCAGAATGTGGAGTATTATCTATACGATATGATCGGATTTGTACCATTTCTGCCGTGTAACCCAGCTCCCATCAGGGCATAAAGCGCTCTTCTCCCTCTCTGGGTCCTCTCCTCTATTGCTTCTGTGTCTCTTTTTGCCATGCGTCGTATTCCCAGATGTGTCGCTGTCTGAGACTCGTGGATGGTGGTCTGCCCAATGTCCCAGTGCAGCTGGTCTCTTCCCGGGTTAACATTGAAGATAACTATTTCGCTTTTAGTAGGATTGATGGTAAAGCGATTCTTCCGGATGAACTGATGTACAACATTGAGTCCAGTCTGAAGATCCAACGGGTTGTTTGCTAGGAGAGCGATATCGTCGGCAACTGTCGGTGCTCCTATGAATGTAATACCGATTGAGGCGCCAATACGGTGGTATTCTAGAGTATCCAGGAGATCATTGGTGTAACACTTATATAATGTCGGGGACATATTTGCTCCTTGTTTGATTCCATGCTGGACAATGATAGGAGAGTAGTAGAAGCCAGAGGTGATAAAGCTTCCTCATGAGGCCGTCTTGCCACACCACGCCGAACGCTTTCTCAGAGTCTAATGTTGCTAGAGCTAGGGACTGATGTTGGTCTTTAGCCTCATTTATGGCCTCAGAGAGGATNTTCAGGTGTTCGGCCGTAATCCACAAATGGTCCTCAGCTTTATTATTGTTCAACTTCTGTATGGCACTGTGCACGGCATCAGTGGTAAACCTGGGCATGGACTGTACATTTGAGGATAGGAAGGCCTCAATCTGTTGGACATCAAGAGTAACTTGAGTCAGATGTTTATGATCAAAGTGGTCTTTATTAACAGGGGTGGCTAATGTCTGGAAATGGGTTTTCCATCCCTCCAGAAGCTTATCAGGTTCCGTGATTTTCTCGCCCTCTATTTCCAGGATTGCCATGTGTTGAGGCGTTGATTTCCTCTGTTTTGCCACTAGTTTATAAAAGAGCTTATTGTCGCCCTCGGCTGCATGATGTCTGTCAGCAGTCTTGTCCTGGTATGTGCTTGGTGTGATCTAACTGATAGTCTTAGGGCTCTCTTGCTCTGTCTTCTTTTCATGTTGAGAGGGTTTTTATGGTCGCTGGGTTTCCCCGCATTCCTTCAAGCTGTATAGTCAGATTTAGCGGATTTGCAAGCGACAGCAGTATGGAGCTTTTCTTCTTAGTTCTGGCTCGTCTTTTCCCTATAGATCGCTCTGTGGCCATTTGTAGTACATCTTTCAGATGATTGATAGCTTCAGTGATGCTGAATAATGACGATGGACGGTCTATCATCGTGTCAATATCCAATTCCGTGGCAGTCGTCTGCTGGTATATATCTATGTTACACCTATCCCAATCAGGTTTGGGCAGGAGCATATTCGTCGGTGGTGCGCGTTCTCGTGTAGAGGAACATAGTGTACCATAAATCCTGGCAGAGATCAGGATATGGTCTGATGTGTTGATAGCGTGATACAAGTGGATTTTGGAGTCTAGCAGCATGCTGCCCCCTTCTTGATGGAGCCCTATGGTAGAAGAAGGAGTTCAAAGGTTTTACCTTTATTTCAGGGGTGTTAAAATTCCCATGCCCCACGCCCGGGACAACCAGTTTTAGCGCTCGGGCAAGTGTGTCTGAATAGTATATAAAAGATTGTGTTTCTTCGTTCCCCCAAATAAATAGTTAACTTTTCACTGTCTGTATTTTAGTGGAAAACATTCAAACAATTATGAAACAAGCAAAAATTCACGAAAAAAAATACTTTAATCTTAGTTTTGAGGAAAAAATTGCCGGTAGAATACTATAGCGGTCTATCCATCAATTCAGACTATTTTCAAGACTTTTAGGCCGATGGAAATAACTGAAACTCCAGCTAGAACATAAAATAGGAATAGATAAAGGATTTGCTTACTAATTCTATGTACTATTTAACTACTTTAGGACATTCGAACAGCAATTGCATTGACGTAACTAATAACCGGATAAATCTGAACCCGGATTTCATCAATTAAAGAACATTCGAAAAGAAATCAATTTAAGTAAAAAAAACAAAGATAAATACATCCTTCACTGCTATTAAATAGTAAATAATTTATATCATAACAACAGCAAATAAGGAAAGAAAAAAGACTTAACTATTTCATGAAAATGCTATTAATTTGGAAAAAATACCTTTATTGTCTGTACATGAATGTAGAAAATATGCATTTTACATTGGGTAAGTAGAAAATATTTTCGGTCAAGTGGATTTGTAAGGTCCACTTGCCTGGGGCAAGTGCTTTAATATTTTTTGTTTTTACACCCCTGCTGTTTATACAAAATTGAGTGCCCTTGGCCCGAGGATACTCCAGACCAAATTGGAACGAAAACCCTTTATCCTTATTGTAGAAGAAGGATTTTAAAGGTTTACCTCTATTTCCCCTATTCGGCCCAACCCCCTGCCCCCAGAGGGGGCCACACACCCAATTTATACAAAATTGTGTCCCCTTGGCAAAAAGATGCACCGGACTAAATGAGGATATAATCCCTTTATCCCTACGCTAGAAGAAGGATTTTAAAAGTTTTACCTCTATTTCTCCTATTTGGCCCTTCTCCTTTGTTCCTAGAGGGGCTAAACCTTCCATTTATACAACATACAGTCCCCTTGGCTTAAGGATGCTCAAGACTAAATTGGGATGAAATCCATTGACCCCTATAGTAGAAAAAAGATTTAAAAGTTTACCTTTATCTCCCCTATTCGAATCCACTCCTCTGACCTCAGGGGGGCCACATCCACTGTTTATACAAGATTGAATCCTAGCCTTGGTCTTGGCCAAAAAATGCTTCAGACTATCGTGGAAAAATCCCTTTATCCCTACTCTTGCAGAAGAATTTTAAAAGTTTTACCTCTACTTCGCCTATTTCCCTTAGGGCACACCCTCTATTTATACAAAATTGTCCGTACCCTTGGCGCAAGGATGTTTCAGACCAAATTGGTATGAAATCTCTTAATCCCTGTGGTAGAAGAAGGATTTTATATGTTTACCCCTATTTCCCCTATTAGGCGCCACCCCTCTGCCCCAAAAGGGGTCCAAACCCACCGTTTAAACAAAATCGAGTCCTCTTGGCCCAAGGATGCTCCATACAAAATTAGGATAAAATCCCTTTATCCCTACGGTAGAAGAAGAATTTTAAAGATCACCTCTATTTCCCCTTTTGGGTCTGCTTTTCTGCCCTTGGCCTAAGGATACTACAGACCAAATTTAGTCAAAATCTACTAGGCCGTTCAGGACTAGTAGTGTTCTAAAGGAAAAGTTGACAGACGGACAGATGACGGATGCTACGGTATGGTATAAGCTCACCATGGTCCTTAATTTATTTTAAAATTGAAAGGGACACAACTCTTTCACAAATTACGACTATAATCCATAGCATTATATCAATCAACGAAACATTACACATTACATAAAATGTATATAGACTATATCGACTTTACACCATTTACAGGCAGGCCCTTAGTGAAACTAAAATCATAGAAACATGAACCTTACATGGATATACACCATCCAATTACTATGTGTTATATATATATGTATATAGATAAGAAAAATATTCCTTTTATGTATTATGGACTGTAAGTTAAATGGATTAACACAAGTTTGCTAAAATAAAATGTTAAATCTTCATGAGCTACTGCTCATAATGAAATTGTGTGCTTGCTTTTTTGTGTCATTAAATTTTATTTATTTCACAATAATTATTTAGCACTTTTAGGGGTGTTCAAACTATTACTGACACATTGATAACCTGTTGTCATGATCTTGGTGATGATAAGCATTGATTCTAAGTGCTAAATGTCCTTCACAGAAGCAACCAATCAACTGCGTGACAAACTGCTACAGAATTGGGAGCCTGTTATAGAATGACCACTCTTGTTGGCCCAGATAGAACCGCACAAATCAACTTTGTGTTCCTTTGACAATCAATTGTCTCATACAATTTATATCAAATTTTGTTTATAGAAAACTAATTCTTACGTCCCATTTGCTTTGATATAAACATGTTTAACTGTCAGTTAACAGAATAAATATCCCCTAAGGACCTTTTGCTTATTTAGCAATTGATCAATATCAAAATGATTCAAAATGGAAAAACAAATACTGATATGTCATCCTATCGAGGAAATCTTGTCTGAAATTAAATCTTCCTATCAACAGTCAATGATTCACAGGAATCAACCATTATCAATAGATTAGAGTACTATAGCGGGCCGTGTGAGAACATTAAACCTGCTGGGACGGGTGGAAACCAACGTCTGAATAACAATACAACTGATAGAGTCACCTTTCTAAATGCAGCATTTAAACTTAAACCAAATAACAATTATCAAATCTTTATCTGCCATTAATTCTTTTCTGGATGAAGCTTGGTGGGATTCCATTAAGAAAATGTCCCCAAGTTTCAGTGCCAACATAAAACATCTCATGGCCTGGGAAATCACATCACATTAACATCCTGCTTTTCTTTTATTGCAGACAATCTTGTATTCATATATGCCCCCGAGCCGTCCCTTATTATAACAATTGCTTCACTGGACCTGTGTCTAACCCAATCATATTGTTAGAAAGACCAATCTAAGGCCATTCCAGCCACACACTAATCCATTGCCATTCTCCTGGTAATTCTACAAACACACCTAGATATGAACACCACAACATATATCCATCATGTTAAGTAACATACTTAGAAACAACACTTCTGGCTATGCCCTTAGCTTCACTAATACAGATCTAGAAACACTTGTATGGCTAAAACCCTTCAACAACAATTCTGGCTTCAACCCGAGCAGCAATAATGTCACAACCGTAGTTATACTCACAACATCAACCGAAGCAGCAATCATGTCACATCCCTAGTAATACTCACAACATCAACCCCAGCACCAATGATGTACCAACCCCCCTAATTCTCACAACATCAACCCGAGCAGCAATAATGTCACAACCCTAGTAATACTCACAACATCAACCCGAGCAGCAATAATGTCACAACCCTAGAAAAACTCACAACATCAACCCGAGCAGCAATAATCTCACAACCCTAGTAATACTCACAACATCAACCCGAACAGCAATAATGTCACAACCGTAGTTATACTCACAACATCAACACTAGCACCAATAATGTCACAACCCTAGTAATACTCACAACATCAACCCGAACAGCAATACTGTCACAACCCCCCTAATACTCACAACATCAACCCGAGCAGCAATAATGTTACAACCCTAGTAATACTCACAACATCAACTCGAGCAGCAATCATGTTACAAACCTAGTAATACTCACAACATCAACCCGAGCAGCAATAATGTCACAACCGTAGTTATACTCACAAGTAGTTATACTCACAACATCAACGCTAGCACCAATAATGTCACACCCCTCGTAATACTCACAACATCAACTCGAGCAGCAATCATGTTACAAACCTAGTAATACTCACAACATCACCCCGAGCAGCAATAATCTCACAACCCCCCTAATACTCGCAACATCAACCCGAGCGGCAATAATCTCACAACCCTAGTAATTCTCACAACATCAACACTAGCACCAATAATGTCCCAACCCCCCTAATACTCACAACACCAACCCGAGCAGCAATAATATCACAACCGTAGTTATACTCACAACATCAACACTAGCACCAATAATGTCACAACCCTCGTAATACTCACAACATCAAACCGAACAGCAATAATGTCACAACCCTAGTAATACTCACAACATCAACCCGAACAGCAATAATGTCACAACCCTAGTAATACGCACAACATCAACCTGAGCAGCAATAATATCAAAACCCTAGTAATTCTCACAACATCAACCCGAGCAGCAATCATGTCACAACCGTAGTTATACTCACAAAATCAACCCGAACAGCAATCATGTCACAACCGTGGTAATACTCAAAGCTAAAACGCTTCAACAACAATTCTGGCTTCAACACTAGCACCAATAAAGTCACAAAACCCCTAATACTCAAAACATCAACCCGAGCAGCAATAATGTCACAACCCTAGTAATACTCACAACATCAACCCGAGCAGCAATAATATCACAACCCNATAAAACATCTCATGGCCTGGGAAATCACATCACATTAACATCCTGCTTTTCTTTTATTGCAGACAATCTTGTATTCATATATGCCCCGAGCCGTCCCTTATTATAACAATTGCTTCACTGGACCTGTGTCTAACCCAATCATATTGTTAAAAAGACCAATCTAAGGCCATTCCAGCCACACACTATAATCCATTGCCATTCTCCTGGTAATTCTACAAACACACCTAGATATGAACCCCACAACATATATCCACCATGTTAAGTAACATACTTAGAAACAACACTTCTGGCTATGCCCTAAGCTTCACTAATACAGATCTAGAAACACTTGTATGGCTAAGACCCTTCAACAACAATTCTGGCTTCAACCCAAGCTGCAATAATGTCACAACCGTAATTATACTCACAACATCAACC